CAGAAAACAAAAAAAAAAGTTACACTCAGTTGTGTTTTATCATTAATATTCCATGCTCAGTAAAGACTGCTTATTCTTTATGCAGAGGTGCTGTGAAAATGGTTTGGTAATTTGCTAAGCTTTTTTTTCATATGATTTTTGTCTTTGCTCTGGAAAAGAGACAGTGGTGGGACGTAGCTGAGTACATTTGCTCAATTATGGTACTTCAGTGGGATGTCTGTACATTACTTGGTCATTTCCATTTTATGCAGCTTTATGTGTCCACTACATTTCTGAGTAAAATATTGCACTTTGTGATCTATTACATTCATTGGAAAGTTTACTATTGAGCATGAGGATTTTGACTAGTGGTTAATATAACAAGCTCTTAAAATACAACACATTGTTAACAGTTAATTACTTTTAATCTGCCAAAGTCTTTACAGAACCAGTGTGTAGATAATTTAACAACTCCACCAAATGTTGTTTTTTCATTCTAAACTCTCAAGAAATGTTCAAATTTGCACAGATTTGTGAATCAGAACTTTGTTCTTTGTCCTCTTCTCTCCCATTAATCATCTGATGACACCTTAGATTTATCTGCTGTTTCTGTGTATAAAACGGTCTGTAAACTACTTCAAATGTCCAGCAGCTACAACAACAACATGGTGTCATATATATATCAGTTAGAGGGACCAAACCCACACTTTTACTTTAATGCTGTCTAACATTTTGTTTTCAATATGTTTTTAAGTAGGATTCATCACACACAAGCTTTACCTGTAATTGAGTGTTTTTACATTGCTTAGGGAAAGAATCTGAACACTTCTGTCACCACTGCAAATCGGTAAATATTGTCAAAACACTATGCATTTCTTATGTAATAACATGACAAGAACAAATTGCACTCGTGTCCTACCATGTAAGCTGTTCTCCATCCTTGTTCTGGACAGCTTGTTAATGAATATACAAAATATTACGAGCAATAAAAATGTCTCATAGAGTCATATTTGACAGTGTCGTTCAACTGTCCTCTTGATCTTTATTCTTAACATTCAAATAACATGAACTTTAGCCCTTTCATTACTATTCTAGCAAAGACCATAACAAAAGTTGTCTGTATTGCTTTTAATGTGTCCATACTGTTTTACGTCTACAGCTTTTGTTCTGACTCATAAAAAAAAAGAATAAAAGATAGGTTTGACTAGCGGAGACACTCCCCTTAAGAACAATGTCTGAAATATGGTTAAGGGAAATAATTTAGAGGCTAAAATGCAAACTTTTTTTTTGAAAATTAAATTTAAATCTTAAAAAGGGCCATCTTCACCCACAGTCTAGGGAAACCCACAAAGGCTGATTCTGTTGGTCAGATTACATCAACATACCTCGAAACCACTCCTTGTCACATCCGACTCCTTCTCTTAGTTTTTGTTTCATTTATTTACTGTTTTGGCATTTGCTGTTGAGGGTTCTAACTCTCGTCTCGCTACACATGCGTGTGATTGTCTACCGTGTGCCAGTGTATATGGGTGATTCTTCAATTAAGGGAGTTTTTCTGTCCCCAGGGTGGATTTTCAAGAAAAGTGTTTTTTAGGGAAAAAAAATGTATTTAAGGTTAGATTGTAGTAGCTCTGAAAAAACAACTGTGTCTCAATGATGAAAACAACAAAAAAAAACACCAGTGTTAATTTTGTCATTCCTGTCACAATACATTTTTTAACAGAAAATGTTGCTTTTCTGTTAAGTTGGGTTTTACCTCAATCATTGTGGTAATGTTTAAAAGTTCAAATTTGCATTTTCTGAAAAACTAGACATTGCAATTCAAACATTCTGATTAGTATGCAATATTTCACTGTTGCCACTGTGACAAGGCAATATATTCAAAAGTCAGAGAGAACATGTTAAATGTATTTTAAATGAGCCTTCAAATATTTAGAACTTGATTCTTAAAGAGCATATTTTGAACGATTGTGAAACCTTTGCTTGTCAAATCATTAAAGTCAGTAATATAAAAATGATCATAAAGTACAATCAAAGCTATGCTAAGATGAGATCTTTGTTCCACACCAATTGATTGAAGCTTTTGTTTTCTTTTATATTTTTGATTAACTCTTGCCAGCTCCTCATGCCTTTGTTTATCTGGATTGTGGTTTGTTGTTTAGTATCAGCTTTTGAATTAAAGGTTTGCCTTTTTCCCCCATTAACACCTGTTGCTAGTGTCTGCATTTAGGTCCTTTTGCTTACTGATCCCTGACAGAACAAACTGGCCAGAAATGGAACTAGCAGACACAATTTCCGATCAGAGAGTCTTGGTGAGGTGAGACCTGTTTTGTACACTTTAGTTTGAATTCAAGGTCCCATAGACAGGCAAGTTAAGGGCTATTACAGACTTTAAGGTTACAATTTACCACAGGCTCCACCTTTTAAACCAACAGGCATGGCACAAAATTTTATCTCAAACTGATGAACTGAGAAAAACCAAGCGGACCATACTTGATGAATCCATCTGCTCTAGTGCTGGACAACCCCCCCCCCTGGGCCACTAACCCCCAGCTGGTTGACCAGTCAGCCAACACTGAACCACCAAGCTGCCTGGCTGGTCCTGCTCTCCAAGATTCTGAGGAGCCACCTTCTGGAAGACTTTTCAGAATTATGCGGCCTCACCGCTCCCCAGCGCTGTGGAGGTGCCAGTCAACCAGTGTGGCATCTGAGAGGGTTGCCAGCACCTCATCTGTCCCTGCGTCTGAGAGGGTTGCTGATGCCTGGTCTGTTCTTTTTTCTGTTGCTGCATCTCAAAGAATCAAGGATAACTTATCTGTTCCTGTTTTTTCGATGGTCAACACAGTCATAGCCGAACCTGCTCCTGCGTCTGAGAAGGTCTTCTATTCTTTTCCTGCCCTGGTTCCCACATCCAAGAGGGCCGCAACAGGTGGGGTGTGCCCTCTGGGTCTATCAATGCTAAGTCCAGGGCCTCATCATGGACAGCTGACATTTTTCTCGGTCGTGAGGCTGCCCTAGCGTCAGCTGGCACTCCCTCTGGTCCAGAGGCTGCAGATGTTGCCCTCTTCCAGATTTGTAGCCCCAGACACCGGTGGCGAGCAGTGAGACAGGTCCATGTGGCCCTGTCTCACTGCTGGCCACCTGCCAGTTTCCTCTGCCTTTGGGCCCTTCTCCAGACTGTCTCTGCCTGTTTTTAAGACTCTTTTATTTTGTTTTGTCTGCTTTCCCGTCTGTTAATCACCTGCCTGCGCTAATGTTCCACCTGTGAGCAAGTGTCTTCCATTCTCCAGTGTATACATACTCATCATTTCCCTCATGTTCTTCGCCAGTTGCTCGATTTTCTTTTGTGTGTGTGTTTTTTTTAATGCTTTTGTTTATCTTGTTGTTGGATTTTTGATTACTCTTGCCAGCTCCCTAGGCGTTTTATTTTTGTGGTTTGCTGTTTTCTATCACCTTTTGCTTTAACGTGTTAGTGTCTGTATTTTGGTTCTTTTACTCCCTGTTCCCTGACACTTCTTTTGATTTCCACCCACCAGTAAAATGATGTGTGTGTGTGTGTACAGTCTAATACAATACAATCATATTTAACAGGAACTTAAGCGTCATTTATCTGTTTTATTGAACTTAACTGTTAACATTCAAATAAGAAATGTACCTTTTCCTATCTACTTTTCGTGTAATACCAGCTTTCTGCATTGCTCTGACATGTCCATGCTGTTTATGTGGACAGCTTGATATTACGCATTAAAGAAATGATGGATTGATATTTTTGTTATTATTTGCATTGCGCTTTCTGTGGCTATAACTCCTTCAGTCCGCAAACATCTTTGCACTGTGTGTGAGTATTAAGCCCATGAACGCGATGTCCATCACCGAACCAACCAACTGTATCGCCAAATTCACAAAAAACTCGAAGCAGCGGTGGCGTCACATCCTGTGGAATATTCCAGCAGGTTTATGTTGCTCTTTAAAAGGACGCTCTGGAAGTGCGGCTGTGAAGCTGACAGGTAACCGGCCTAATGTTGTGTTTATCACTTTGACAGCGGAGACACACAAGTCAGTCATCAGACAAAACAGAACTCTGCGTAAAAAAAAAAAAAAAGTGAGATTCGGTGTGTACGTGCGCGCTTAGACGTCTCCATCCTCTGATCCGTGTAGATTTAGTATTCTGTGGAGCTCCTGTCAGGTAAGATGAGAAGCTCTTTGTGCGGCATCGTTACATCAACGCTGAATAAGTACTTTAGAGCGCAGTATCGGCTCGCTTTGCACTTTTTGGATCATTTGGTTGTGACGCAGTTGCGCCCCTTGCTCCTGCCTCTTCATAAAGATACTGGACTGTTGGACAGCGACAAATATTCACCTGTTTCTTAAGATCAGCTTCTTTCTTTTGTTCTTTTTGATTCTTCTGCCTCTGTGGATGCATTTATACAGGGACAGATGTAGCTGTAGAAACGCACTGAGGACTGGTGCTGAGGATAGAGCGGTGCGCATTAAGCCCCCCGCTGAGCAGCTGTGGAGGGTGAACTACTCGCGCACAGTCAAGATTTACAAAAAAAAAAAGATGGTTCAGTTGTGCTTCGAACAATGTGTTGTAGTGGAGATTTTATTAGCACGCTTTTAGCAATTAATGAAAACCAGAATAGCAACCAAGATGCGTAATTGCGCGCAGGATTTCGACCTAAAAGCTAAATAAACAGCTGATCGGGCATGGCGAGGTCAGAGGGTTTTGTTTGTTTGTTTTTAACGTTACTTTTAGAATCATTTTCTTAAAGGGCACATATTTACAACTCCCAACAGCAGCTTTAAGCTTCATGTGTATCCATATGGTTACCAAAACTGGTTACTTAAAATCTTATTAAGCAGCATTTGTGGGATGAAAATGAATATAGAACATTTTCATTTGGTTAGCCTTAATGGATCTATTAGGCTGTAAAGGGTTTACATTTATGGCTACAGTACACTTGTGTATATGTAATGCAAGCATTTTTTTTCAGCTTCTGTGCTGGTTGCCAGAGACAATCATGATCCTCCTGACTCCCTCCTCTGGTAGGTACTCATTTTCAATCCCATAATCTGGATTACTGTACACCTGCATGGGCACTGGTGCCAGGTTTTAAAACTGAGATCTACTTGGATCAAATTGGGCCGTAAAACACCCATTGATGTGCTGATTTAGTTTATAATGATACCTGGACAAAACACAGAAGGATAAATATTTAAATCTGTAAAATCAACCATAAATACAAATGTATTTAAGACACCTTTAACATGTTGTCCAAGTTGTGAATTCTGAAATAATTAGTTCATCATAACTTCACACTTAAAAGTATACCGAATAGAGTCTTTGCAGTTTGACTAAAGATAACACATTTAGAAATTGCATCCGATAGAATATATAGGATTAAATCACCTATAACTGTTTTTCTTTCTTTCTTTCTTTCTTTCTTTCTTTCTTTTTAAAAGATTGTAATTGTCATTATTCCAGAACACAGTTAGCTCTAAAATGTAAATAGTGAAGAGTGTTTCAGTAAGTTCACTTGGGACAATCCCTGTTGTGAATTGGGAGTTTGTGAGTTTTCCTTGTTTTTCATTTAGTCTTTTTAGTTGTTACCAGGTAACATAGCAGGGTATTACATAACAAGGGCCTTCCCATCATGCTTTGCACTCATTAGGCAGCAACCCAGAAATAGAGACCTGCTTGAAATTGACAGTGTGTCTGGCTCTGGCCTCATCCTCTTTTTATTAGCAACCAAGACAGTGCATTAAGTGAAACTTGACTGTAAGAACAACACAGACTTTGAGACACATGAGCTGCATGTGTGGCTCTCTAATGCTATTTACCGTGACAACACTTCATGAACCTGATTATTTTTCTTCTGGCATACTTGGCAATGACATGATTTTGAGATGAAATGCAGAATGCTACCTGCATTGAAGTGCTGTGTTTTTCTAGATCAAATGCCAGGTTGTAACTTTTGTTGAAGTCAGACATGAGAAGTAAAACGCATGCTGTCAAGTAAAAGTGCAAGTTATTGTTGGCTTTCTGCTGTGTCTCATACGCTGTTTTCTTTCAGATGAAGAGTCTCTTGAACTCGCCTGGCTTTGGAATCACAGGAAGTTCAGGGTGAAAAACACTTAAAGGGTTGCTACTGCAACATTTAAAGATAATTAAATTTTGCAGGTCATTATCTACGCATACTGTCTTGGACAGCACTATGACTTGAGACAAAAGAATGAGCTCACAAATGGAGAAGGCTGATAGAAAACACAGATTTCTTTGTTTGGATTAATTATAAAACATCACAGATTTGTCGGAGCAGCTTTTGGCTGGAAGGAGGCAGCGTCATTTCATCTTGCTGACTAAGATAGTGAATGTAGCTTTTATTATTGTTCATACTGTACATTTTTTCCCTCACTACAAGAAAACAAATCAAGCTACAAGTGCAACTTTTACTAACTGTTGTTTCAGCAAAGATGCAGTGCTGTGATTTCTCCTATTTCTGTGTGTACTAAATGGGGTCAGATAATCAAACACAATTTAATGTAGAGCAAAGAAAATTTGCATAAACGCAAATACAAGTTTTAAATGATAATTGTTTTTTTTGTTTTTTTTTAAAGTTATCTAACTAGACCTGTGTAAAATATTATAATTATAAAACTCATAAAACAACCAAACTATACTGGTTGCAGCCAAACTAGAAACACCTGGTTATAATTATTAGCAGCTCTGTTTAGTCAAAGCATCACTTTGACAGTTCCCAGAAGCATGACGTTGACGAGAAGGTTTCACCAGTAGAAAATCATGCCATAGTCAAAACAAACTGAGAGAGTGAGAGTCATTATCCACAAATGGAGAAGACTTAGAACAATAGTGAGCGTTTCTTAAGGTAGCCCTGCTTCCCAAATTAATCCAAAAGCATGGTGACAGTTCATCTAGTCATAAGAGATTCAGGGAAAATATCCAAAAGCCTATCTCACCTCGGTTTCTTTTTCAGGTGTTAATGCCTCCACTATCAGGGCACAAACTGCATCAATGGGAGAGGGGTAAAATGAAAAGCACTGTTAACGCAGAATAACAGTAAAGTTTGTCTGAACATCTCATTGGCACTCAGAATTTTTGGAAGAATGTTTTTGTTTGTTTGTTTGTTTGTTTTACAGCTGATAAGACAGGGATCCTGTTTTATTCAGTGCAAATCAAACAAAGGATTTCACAAAAAGGACACTATACCTGAGGTCAAGCATGGAGGTGGCAGTATCATGTTGTGGACACGCTTTGTGGCCTCAGTCAGAGCATTTTGCCATAATTTAGGGGGGGAAAAATGTCCTGAGAGAACATTTTAAGGGAGAACATCAGGTCATCATTCTGTGAGTTGAAGCTCAAACTGTTGCAGCAAATTAGAAATCCCAACACTGTGATAAAAACACAGTAAAATGCAGCCAGATTCTAACAGTAGTGTACTGTGTTTTTTGTTTTATTTGTTGTTGTTGTTTTTACTAAATACAATATAAAAAAAACAAACCTTACAATCTGATTAATTTGTTGAAGCAAGAAACAAGAATTACCAAAACTTGACTATTTGAATTAAACAAAAATTGATTTAGGCAGCTAAGAATATTATTACATACATTACAGTGATGCCTTGAGATCAGCCATTTTACTTTTTTCTTTGTATTTTATTTAGTTAAATTACTTTTCACAGGGTTTTTTTTTCACATTTGTAGAGCTTGATTTTCAACATAAATAATGAAGCTGTATTGTTATTTAGGGTGTTTATCTGCAACTCATAGGAGTGTCTGATGTCGATTAGTATGGTTACACTATATAAATACAGTATAATATACTTTCTGTTTCAATACATACAATTATCATTTACAACTTGTGTTTCATGGTTGCTCAGGTTGCCTTTGTTTGATGGTAAACTCAGTTTAGTGTGAAATATACACAAAAGTAGACGTAATCAGGAGGAAATTATCTACTTTTTCACAGCACCGTAATAGCTAAAATATACAGACGATTAAACTCAACACAGTTTAGCATTTAAAAACAAACTTTGTGTGATTTCAACAAGAAAACCAGGTGAGGTTGTAGAATTATCCCAGTGCCACAGTCTCCATTAAAGCACGGGCTGCGGTGTAGATTGGAACAGTTAGCTTATGCTAGTGCCGCTGCATTGTCCTTGTTTCAGGTCACTTTGTTCGATCAGAGTTAACAGGCTAATTGATCTCATGTCTGGTATGCATCAATGCAGTAGGTTTCAACACACTCTCACTGTAGCCAGTGGTGTATGTGGTCATCCCCTAAGTGTTCATAGATTGCTCCCCACACCAGTGTCTGTGTGCGTTTGACCCCTTCTAAGATCACATTTGAGTGCTAACACTTCACATGTTAATGCTGACATTTATTGCATGTCACTGTGGCTGTTTTCTTTTTGTAAAATATGTATAATATGATTATTTCATAGTTATAACTGATAATGTAACAGCAGATAATGTTGCATGCTGTAGGCTGCACACACCTGACTGAATGAATGATGGTAACAAATGCATTTTAGCGATCTGAAAATGGATGAATGTATCGTAAGGTTGGTCTCCATCCAATAAACATACGTCTTGGTAAGTGATATTTCTTTTACATAAGACGGGGGAGTCAGATTTGGAGTAATATTTTGCTTGCAATAAAAAAAAAAAAAAAAACAATATGTGATGCAGTATGAATGACCATTATATTGTCTTCAGTATTCCTAAGAAATTAAGATTTCTTTCAGAACTTTTACGCATTTCTCCTTTTAATCCAACATATTAACTCAAACTAAGCTACATAGTTAGTGAACTATTCCCATTGAGACACATGCATTTAAAGGTCAACTGATGTGGTCATCGGACAATAGCAGAGGTTTAGCTTTTGTCTTAAACCAGAGCAGAGGTTATTTGCCTAAGAGAGACAACTACTAACTGCTGTTGCCGGTTTCCTCTCAGGTCTCTTCCAGTGTACCAACAAGCTCTTTCTGAGTGATCAGTCCACGGGACTTCAGATCAAGGAGTTTGCGCGTAAAAATGCAGCAAATGCTCTGTCGGTTGCCAACATGGTCATGGGCATGGCCTCCATTCTCAGCAGCCTTAATGGGTGAGTGAAAACACCATTAATGGATTTTACTAGTCAGGCTCAGCTACAGCATGAACAAAATCTATAGCTATGAATCACTGTGGGGGCGGATGTGGAAATATATGTTACTAGTGCATCAAAAACCAAACTTTTGGAATTATGGTGAACCTGAGGGCCAAAAGACAGCACGATAAAGGAACATTTCACAAACATTGTACCAAATCAGGAAAAAAAGTGTTTTTTATTATATTAAGTTATTCATTTGTTGTGGTTTGTCCTCCAGGGTCAACATACGTTTCTGTCTTTACCAGACGGACTCACCTAAGTAAAAAACCCAACCCAAAGACAGCGTTCTCAGTGAGAGAAAGCCAGTTGTTTAACCTTATTTGCAACAAATCCAACCAGCACTAGTTTCAGCCTTTTTGGCACAAACTTTACCCGTGAAATGGGTTGCTGTCATCAAATAGCTCAACCTAACACTCAGATGTTTTGTTCAGGCACCATCATGCCGCATGTTGGCTCGTTCTGATTGGCTACCTGCTGGATTTGGCAGATGGAGCAGTTGCCAGGCGACTCGATGCCTGCTCTGCACTGGGTAAGTGGAATGTTGTGGTCAATAGCTCTTACCAAAGATAAACTTCAGCCGGGGTGTTGGCAGGACTTGCTGCACAGGCTTTTGTGTGGACTTTTCTAATTTGGCCGCACAAAGTCATTAACAAAGGGAACCAGTAAAAGAAAACTCTGCTATTGAAAAAACTCTGGTTAGTCTTACAAAGTTTCCAAGAGAAGAATCATGCATATTTTACATAGTGCAATTTGAGCTTTGTTAGATTACTATCTTTAAGTGACTTCCACATTCTGAAGACCTGTAGATTCATATACTTGTTAGCTTCGGGTTTCAGGGTTTGAGTGTAAATTGCATCACATCCCCTTTGTTGTCCCCCATAACACACAGTGCAATGACACTGCAATTTAAAAACACAGTGACTTGCTTTCTAAAGTTCGCTATTCCACACATAACAAATCTGGAGGTACGAATCCCTTCAATATTGCGTCCAGTGTGCAAGTTCACATTTTCTCAGAAGCCCAAAATAGCTCCCAGGTGCATCACAATACATTGTTGGCGGCACATTTCAGGGGGCTTTGTGTCTCGATAGGCTTTTTCTGCATGACTTTGCAGGTGAATGTTGTTGTGCCCCCCCACCCCTGCGTATTTTGTCAAATGAACAATCACTTTCTGATTAAGCAGACTAATTCCACGGGATCACGCTTCAATTGTCTGTTTTATCCCGTTGCTTTGGGTTCTGTGCATATCTGAAATTGCTAAAATTGTTGACCCTAGGCTGTGGAATTCCACCTCGTTCACTGGAGCCATGCCCCGAATCACCTCGTCCTCAACCGCTGAAAACATGCTTCGTGCTCCTGAGGGATAAAGAGATAAGGCAGTGGAGAATGTTGTTTATAGAATGTCTGCCTGTCGGGCTGACACTGAAATTTCCACTTTGAGATTTTTGCAGATACATGCACCACAATGGCGTCACATGTCAGCATTCTGGAGGGATGTTAATGTATCTGAAGTGGCTTTAAAGAACATAAACACTTGACAAAGCTGCTGCTTGAATGAAAGTAATGTAATAGTAGCCTTATTTGGTAAAAAAAAATATCACCCGGGAGGTCCTAATTAATGCCTTAATTTTTCACATTCAGGTGCAAAGCTGGATGACTTTGCTGACTTCACGACCTTTGGGATTGCCACATCATTGCTCCTGAGGACATCTGACCTGCTGGACAACGTCCTGTGCATGTGTTATGTCCTATCTGTGTTCGTCCGCCTTTGTTTCTTTTCAAGCGGTGAGTTCTAAAATGTAATTGTATGCCGTCCTTTTCATTTTTTCCAGTCATTTTACTCACACGTGAATTTAACTATGTTTTTTTTTCAACGCACAGGGATCCCCTTTATGTATCGCGGCCTGCCCTGCATCTACTCGTCAGCCATCCTGGCCAGCGCTTCTTTGCTGTCGGGGGGAAACATGGTTGTGCTGCGGGTCATCGCAGTGGCCATGATCCTTTTCATGATCAGCCAGAACTTCTATCCCCACGACAGAGTGTTGGAGTCTCAGGCCTGGAAGAAAGTTGTCTATGCTGGAGGTAAAATCATTTTTGAAAATCCAGTATAACCTACATATTAACTTTTGCAAGGCTGCTAAAATATCATTTTGATATGCAACGTTCCCACGTCTAGAGGAAATCTGGAAATAACATGCTCTGTGAATCCCCAATCTCCAGCTGCACAGTTCAAATCAAAAGCTCAGTAAAGCGGTTTATTCAATTTCTAAGTTGAGCAAAATCCAA